TAAAACATAAGATAAATCCTGGAATGACAAATAAATGACCAACACTTCTAACAGTTTGAGGATAGGATATCGCACAAAGTTCTAGTGTGTCGTAGACATGGATAATGTCCATGACACTGGTGGCCAGGTGTCCCTTGTGGGACTGAGCTACTGCTATTTCCTTGAAATCCACCCTGTAGATCCAGATGGAATCATGACCCATAGGTGCAGTAGAATCCATTTGTACAGTGTGCTGATGGAAATATTTTGCTGCTGTACACAAAAGAATAACTGAAAGACTACTTTTGTATACCTCTTATTCTCCTGTGTTTGTTTGCCCTATTTGGTGGATTCTTTCCATTCTCATTCATGGGGCTGTGATCAATTTGCTCCCTCTCTAGAACATCATTTAGTAGTGTGTGTAGGCTTGGCTTTGTCATCATGAAATTCTTTATTTGTTCTGTGTCATGGAAGTATTTCACTTCTCCATTATACTTGAAAGAGAGTTTTGCAGGGTATATCAGTCCGGTTTAGAATCTGTTTTCTTGCAAGACTTGAAGTACTTTGCTCCATGCTCTTCTTGCCTTGATAGTTTGTGAAAAGAAATCTGCTGCTATTTGATGGATTTTCTTTTAAATATGATCTGTTTCTTTTCTTTAGTGGCTTTTAGTATACTGTTTCTGTGCTGAATTTCTGGGATCTTGATTATTTTATGTCTGGGTGTGGTTTTAATTGGGTTGATGTTATTTGGAGATCCATAGGCTTTGGTTACCTAAATGTTATATAGTATCCCCATATTTGGGAAGTTTTCTGCTATTACTTCTGCCCATATTCTTTCTATATCATTTGTATTGACTCCTTCCTTCTCATTGATGCCTATTAGTCTCACGTTGTTCATCTTTGCATCATCTTGCAGGTATTGAATTATTTTATCCCACATCCTTGTTTTTTTATCTCTGGATGAATGAGGCTTTACTATATATAAATAAACAAGTTCATTGGAATATTAACTAAAAGATGCAACTAAACTTAGGATCACTGCCTTTTTTAAACAAAATATTCCATAAATTTAAGGTAACACTGGCTTCCAGTTTTTTCCCCAAAAGACAAACATAAACAAATGTTCTATAGATAATATCAGTTTGTCCAGAAAAGGAGGGAGGGCGGAAAACAAAAACAGGTGCAATCATGTCACAGTTAATACATGTCTGCTTCCAGTATATTGAATGACAAAATTTTAAAATCAATAGTTAAAATAGGCCTTTTGCAGTCTGACAGTTCAAGATCTTTTAAGAAATTTGTAAATACACATACATGCAAATTTTTCATATATACAAATTTCACAAAATTAACAAGTTACAAAGAAATTAGAAGTATTACGGTAAATGTAACAAGCTACATTTAAATGCTTTTACCACTGACATATTCCTGAATATAGCAGTCCTAGTAGTTTTAATAAATTTTCTACATGGCCTTTTTATAAAAAGTTAGTCAGTAGAAGTCTTTAAGAATTCAAGATGTTGTCAATTCACTACTCACATTTAAGGCCACTTTGGTAAAGGCATTGCAGCGAGAACACAAAACAATAGCATATTTTCTAATATTTATTTTTTTCCACCTGCAAACTGTAGCAAAACAGGATCAGCTGTATTACGCAGACAGGTATCCCTCTACATTTTAAAACAATTTAGGCATGAATAAATAGAAGAGCTCTTTAGAAAGGAAAAATTCAAAAACAAATAAAGCCTTCCAATTTCACCTTTGTAACTTTCCAGCAGTAATGGTTGAAATAATTTTAGTTCATTCATTTCAAGATATATGACAGCACCTTAAAAGTGGCTGATCTATCTCCCCAGTAACATTTTCACATAACAATGTGGTAAAGTTACAAATACTGACATGCACAAATAGCTAATTTCTAAGAAAAATATGTACAGTACTGCAGCATAATGAATGTGGTGTCTGCAATAACTTAGTATTAGCCAATTTTTAATACACATGATACCGCTATCTTTTTCTGCCAATTCACAGGTTAAAAGTTGTTATCAGAGCCCTCTGTTTTGCACTTATTACCTGATGTTTAACACACAATGCAGGCTTTTTAAAGACTTCTCTTGTGTTTAAAGCTAAGATCAGTGAAACAAGACAACAGTGCAAGAGGCGGAGGGATGTAATATGACCACATGAAAGTTCGTTCCAGTAAAGTGTCCATATAAGGCTATAAGAAAGGGTTGGTTGATGAGCTTCCTGTTGGAAATTGTCCTGTTGGTGCACCAGTCATAAAGGGATTACTAGATACTCCAGCAGTCGCAACTTGACCAAAAGGGGTCACCACTGGCTTTGTTTGTCCAAATGCTGCCAAACCTGCACCATTGGGCTGTTGAGAAAAAGCTGTCTGTTGAGGGAAAGCTGTTTGGGCTGGGAAGGCAGGCTGCTGAAAACTAAAGCTAGTGGGAAGACTATAGGGAGCAGGGGTCTCAAAACCCGCAGGCATGCTCATGGATGCTGTGCCAAAGGTTGCCGCTGTTGCTCCTCTGGCATTGGTCTGAAATGGATTTGTTGAAGATGCCACAGAAGGACCCCCAGCAGCAACAAATGGGTTTGTGGAAGGCGTTGCTCCAACTGGAGCAGGCACACTTGAAGAAGCAGGCTGAGTCTGTGCCAAAGCACCCACTGGCACTGTTGCAAAAACACTGCTGCTAGCATTACTGGTGGAAGTATACGCATTACTGGAGGTGGCTGCAGAGCTGAACACACTGTCCAGTTCAGCCAGGGCTGCATACCTGTCTGAAGATGCACCTGACTGAGTGGGAACTGAAACCATAGAACCAACAGGAGCTTTACCTGTGGCCCCCAAACCACTCCCTTGATCACCACCTTGCCCAGCACTGAGGATATTGTCTAAATTAGCAAGGGCTGCATATTTGTCTGTTGTCTGTAATCCAGGTTTGTTTGCTGAAACTTTACTAACAGCTGATGCTGTCTGATGACTCTGGGAAGTATTGAAGGTTCCAAAATCAGCACTGGAGGATTTGGGGGAAGTTATCAAAATGAGCAAAATTAGCATTTACTGATCCAGCACTTCCACCTGTAGTTTGGGGCTGAAAAGGAGAGTGACTTGCTGTGGGGAAACCTCCAAAATTACTCAAACCACTAGACTGTCCAAATGCATCAAAGTTTGCAAAATCTGCATTTGCAGAATTCTGAGCTTTAATGCTTGCTAGAAAGAAATGTGGCTGGCTGGAGAGTAGCTCTGCTATCACTGCATGACTGTTGAGATGTGCAAAGTTGGCAAAACTGGCTGTGGCTGTTGAGTGAGGAGCCGGAGCAGCAAAGAGGTCTGAGCCAAGATCACTCAAAAGGTCCAACTGCTTCTTTTCCTGCTGCTGCCCTTGGGAGCGACCTACACTGGGGACTGACTAGTGTACCCTTATTCAAGTGCAGTGCTGGTGCTGAATCTCCTAAAAGAGATTTCAGGGGCTTGACCTCAGGTGTGCTGCTTGTGCTACTGGCAGAAGACCCTGAAGTAGATGCGTGCACTGATGCCACGACCTTGGCTTGTTCTGGCGGTACATACCATCTTTCCTTTTCATATTTTTCTTGTAGAAACTCTTTCACTTTCTGTGGGTCCCTGAAGTCTGGAATTGCTGAAGATCTATCATCAAAGAATCCTAGCCAAATCTGTTTACAAACCTTGGGAAAGAATTTCATTTCCATGTTTTTGCAGTAATTTAATTTCCTGTTGTGTGAACGTTGTCATGGAGATAGACTTCACTCTGTGTGGAGGATTTAACCCTCGTAGGCTGCCGGAGCAGGACGTGCACACGAACGACCCTTGTTGTTTTTAAGAGATCTTTTCTTACTTTTTCACAAGTTGCAATGATGTTTCCAAGGTCTGAACGTTTATTTTCACTCTTATTCAACTGGCTTTGCCAGCTTGTGATTGAGGTTTTAATTTCCTGTGTATCACTTTGGATCTCTTCATGCATTCTATTTCTTTCCTATATTGCTTATTCAAGGGTTCTATCATTCTTATATTCTGCTCTATTTCGTATAAGTTTCTTCTTTAGAAGCAGTTAGTACTCCTTTCATTATAGTTATAAATTCTATCTTCACTTCAGAAATTATTACTGTTCTGATTTCCTCTATACCTTTCTGCAGTTGTTTCTTGACTTCCAATGCTAATATTTCAGAAATTCCAGTTTCCTCTATGCTAGTGTTTTCTGCATTTGGACTGGGTGGATGTGGGGCCTGAGACTGCATTTTGCTCCTTCTCTTTGTCATTTTGTATACCACTGTCTTCTGACCTTCGGTGTAGAGCTGAGATAGAGTTATTACCTTAGCACCAGGTCCGGATCTACAAAGTGCAAACTCCTGCAGGTGGGTGTGGCTTGGTTCTGACTGCTGTGCTCAACTTCTTCCTGCTGTAGCCTTTGGAAGTAAACCCTCTGTGCCAGTCTGACACCATGTTCTGCTCTTGGGTCAGCTAAGTGGGTCTTGTCTCTAGCCTGTCACCAGGGAGATCTGTCCCAGGGTTCCACAACAGGATGCAGTTCCACTTACAAACCTGGCTTGGGCTTTGGCTCAAATGAGGATTCAGCAGCCCTGGGGTGTCCTACTCACACACAGAGCCTGGATGCTGGCTGGACTACCTGAATGTGTTCAAAGGGACAATTTCAATTTTCTTTGATATACCATTACCAATAGAAATTAAAGAAATTTAATTTGATAGTGTTAGAAGCTGTGCTACATTTTCACTATGTGGCTTTAAAATTTCGCAGCCTCATCATCAGTGTTGTAAGAATGAGTACAATAAATTTGAGCAAAAGTCAGGAAAATGTTTGGAATGGATTGGGAAAATTTGGAATTAATTTTTGTTGAATTACTTGATAAAATTCAGCATGGATTTCATCAAGTTCTGTTTTATTTTTGGAAAGAGTGTCCTTTTTTTTCTTTTTGGTGGAACCAGGGATTGAACTCAGACCCTTGCGCTTGCCAGGGAAGCGCTTATTCTACGGAGCCATCTCACCGGCCCCAAGAGTGTCCTTTTAATTCTGATTTGCATTCATTGCCCTTAATAGCTCTGTTCAGATATTGTTTTTTCTTATTCAACAGATGATAAGTTTTCAGGAATTTACCCCTTTTTAGGCTTATGTTTACTCATAGCTGCAGAAAACAATCTAAACCTGCTTTATCACATAGTATTTCCACTTAAGTTTCATGAGGAAACTCCCCACAGTTTTTTATAATATAGAGATAGCTTTCTCTACAAAAATTTACATTTTCTCTAACAGTGTCCTAGAGTTCTGACATACTGTACAACATTTGCTACGTTTGTTTTGTCACCAGTCATTGCAACAGGTGTCCTAGCATCGCTTGCTGAAATGAACACCTTCTACCAACTATGTAGGGTTTTACACCGTGGAAAAAAATAAGTTGCTCGTGTGTGTGTGGGTCTGGTTCTAGGTGTGGTAGTGCAGTGAGGGCATTTTATGTGGTATGACAATCCAGGGTCCTCTGTTTACTCTAAGTCAGAATCACTTTCTTTGCTAAGAGGATAGATTTGATATACCGACACCAAAATTTGTAAAGATGAAGAGCTATGGTATTTGCAACGTGAGCTCTTGCCAATAATTCCTGGCTGCTCTTTCTGAAGTCCTGCTCTGTGTGTCATGGATAGCACAGGACTCCTGGCTCCTCTCCTGAGAGATCCGGAAAGGGAGGCACAGTGGTGGACTCCCAGGAGACAGGGAAGGAGGGCTTCTGTGACAGTCAGAGGAGCCCACTCAGCCCTGGCCTCACTCCCCACACTGAGAAACAAATTTCACCTTTGTGTTGTCAATATTCTGCTTTATTTTCCATAAATTTGAAAGCAAAAAATACATTCTATTTAAAATATATTTAAACACAGAGATAGGGGTTAATGCTCTGCACAAGAGTGGGAGACACAATTCTTCATGTGTCATCCCGAGTATGTGGAGGTCATGTGTGAGCGTCTTCTGAGCTCCAGGAGAAGCACCTGAGCCACGGGATTAGAAGCAGAGACTTTGTGTTTCCTTTTCAGGACGCAAACAACAAACAGGAGAAAATAAAAACTGAGGACCAGTAAATTTATTAAAAAGGCAACTAAAAAAAAATTTAAAAATGAAAAAAAAAAAAAAAAGGTAACTAAATGAGCTCTGTGTTTGCCTTATGCTATCATACATGGAAGTTTAAGAGTTACATTTACTTTTTTATTTTTATATATTTAGGACCTGGTCTACAGGGTCTAACTATGTACATCAGACTCATAGTGATCCTTTTGTTTTCAGCCTCCCACGTGCTGGGTTTACAGGCGCGCGCCGCCACGTCCAGTCTCAATCAGGGTCTCCGCCTGTCCCAGGGACCGGGCCGCACAGCACAGCCGGGATCAAACTGGCTAGTGCGCTCTACCTAAGCAGGTGATTTAGTACAATAAGCTATCTGGTCGGCCAAAGACTTTACACTTTTAAAAAGGATTATCCATTCTCTGGCCTGGACTATCTCTCTCACGCTCTCATGCTTCTCATGCTAAATACTTAACCTGGTGATGATAAAGAAATATCAGTGGGATGCTTTACTGTGGGATTGAAAAAAGTTCACTATATTGGCTGCGTGCCTTCAGACTCCAGCCCTGATGAGCAGAAAAGAGTCATGTTACTTCCAAACATGATATATGAACATATCTACAGGGGAGAAAATATCTTTTATTAAGTACAATTTCTAACTCAGGACATGAAAGATAAGTATCTCCTCCCTGCAGAGTCTCCTGGGGATTATGCCGAAGAGTCTGGGGATTATGCCACATATACCTGAATCTTCAGATCCTTACAGGAAATCAGACTTCTAAAATCCAGCTAAAGTCCCTGAGCCATGGGATGAAAATTAGAGAGTTCCTTGTTACAAGGAAGCAAATTTTTTCTCCCTTCCATACTTTTTTTTTTTTTCTTGTGGAACTGGGGATCGAACTCAGGCCCTTGTGCTCACCAGGGAAGCACTTACTCTACTGAGCCATCTCCCCGGCCCAAGAAAGCAAATTTTTAAAAAATGTTTATATATATATATATATATATATATGTATATGAATAAAAACTAAGGAAAAATAAATTATCTAAAAAGACAATTAAGGACTGGCCAGATAGTTAGGCGAACTAAAGCACCTTCTTAGTCAGAGAGCGGCGGCCAGGTTCGATCCCTGGCGTTCGGTGCCTGCCCCACCCCTGGGGCACCCTGAGACAGGGATTGAGACTGGGCAGGGTGGCACATATCTGTAATCCCTCGGGAAACTGAAAACAGGAGAAACGCTATGAGTCTAATCTGTGTAGTGAGACCCTGTAGACCCGGTACTAAATAGAAAATAATAATAATAAAAAAAAATTAGACAAACTCTGTGATTGACTTACGCATTTGTATATGGACGGAGTATAAGATTTACGTTTCTAAAGCTTTATCCATTATTCAGCCTGGATTATTTCTCTTGTGCCTCTGTTCTAAATATCCAAGCTGGTGGTGAAAAGAGAATATCACTATAAATTTTTTTTTCATTGGAAAGTTCAACATGGTGCCTGTGTGGTTCCTCAGGTTCCAATCCAACTGACCAGAGCACAGTTACGACATGATTCCATCAAAATGACATTTGATTACATGTGCTGCCGGGAATGTATATTACAAATGAAACTTGTGAGAAACGTAATATCCATGGCTCCCTGTTCCTCATCCTAGCCTGTCCTTGCAACGCCCTCGACCCCCCCCCATTCCCTTCCTCTCCCCCATTGTACTTGCAGCCTAGGTTTTGGGGCCCTGGCTTTGATGGCAAAAGGAGAAAAGACTGCACGGATTGTGTGAGGAAACACCAGATTCCTCTTTCCTCTGGTCCCAATTTCTCCCGTGTCCAGCATCGACCTGCCCTGTTTCCACTTTTCCTCCACGGCCACGCAGCGCCCTGTCCCCTCTGCCCTGACGCCTCTTCCTGAACCCCAGTGAGCTCTGGTGCTCTCCCTACCGAATAGGACAGTGAGGTCAGATTGCACCTGGTTCCTCTGCTGCCGAGGCTGGAGGATTGTCAAAGACTTGGAGAGATACTTGGGGATTATGTCACAAGAACTGGAAGTGTCAGTTCCTCAGATCAAAGGTCTTTCACTCTCTTCATCTGTCCTGCACACTGACACTGAAATCAGTGTGTGCTGTGCGCCCCCTGCTGGTCCCGAGCATCGCAACAGGGAGGTTTATGTCTGGGCTTCCAATGACGCCCTCTCACTGTGTCTCTTGCACAGTAATACACAGCCGTGTCCTCGGTTTTCATTTGGGTCATTTGCAGATACAGCGTGCTCTTGGAGTCATCCCTGGAGATGGTGAATCGGCCTTTCACAGACGCAGCGTATTCCGTGGTGTGACTGTTAGCCTTGTTTCTAATAACTCCAACCCACTCCAGTCCCTTTCCTGGAGCCTGGCGGACCCAGTTCATGTAGTAGTCACTGAAGGTGAATCCTGAGGCTGCACAGGAGAGTCTCAGGGCCCCGCCAGGCTGCACCAAGCCTCCTCCGGACTCCACCAGCTGCACCTCAGCCTGGACACCTGCAAGCACAGACACATCCTGCTCAGTAAACATCACACATGTCCACTATGTATCCCCCTCAATTCAGTCAGACACTCAGTGTCTCTTGCTTCTTATGCATCACCTTTTAACATAGTGATAAATACAACCCAGCTCAACACCAGCTCCATGGTGAGCTGTGTGTACTCCGTCCTGATCACCAAGGGGAGACAGCTGCTGGCTGCCCAGAGCGGGGTGTCTCTCCAGAGCTGCAGGGTGAGAGCTGGATGGTT